TAATCATCATCATCATCATCATCATCACCATCATCATCATCATCATTTTTATTTCTTAAGATAAAATTACATATCCTAAGTTACAATATAAACTCAAAAAAACTATTTACATATCATATCTAAAAATTATTCTGTTACTAAAAACGTTATTAAACCTGTCAGTGTAGATTCTAGGGACAGAGACTGACGTATTTCTAAGATTGTACCTCATGTTCTTTTCCTTAGGTAAAAACTGGAAGAACGGACATTCGGGGTCATTCGATCTTTTTTGTAGAGTGTCTTGTCCGCCTTCTTTAGCAAGTCCCTGATATTTACATTCTTGGACATAAACTTTCTTTTCATACACCGGTCTAAAAAATCCTGTATTACAGAAAGGTCGGAATCTGAGGCACCATAAACCGGCAGAGCGTAAGAAAAATTTGGTAAAATTATTGCGTTAAAAAGGTGATCTACTTCCTCCTGGGACATTCCTTCCTTACGTAAAGATCCTAATACGAATAATGACTTGTTCGCCTTAATTACCTTCGCGCGCACGTGACTACTGTATTTACAATTTTGTTGGAAAGTAACACCTAATATGGATAACTCTGCGCACTGCGGTATATTACTAACTGGCGCGATGTCCTGACTGAAACCTTTCTTACGGAAAATAATCTCCTTGCTTTTTGTTGGATTGCATGTCATGCGATTGCGGCTGGACCAGCTAAGAAACTGATCCACCAAGTGAGTGCGACACTGGCCGTTTCCCCAAAAAGGGACGATAATTGTAGAATCATCAGCATATTTAAACAAGGCTGGGCGACCTTCTAGATTGATTTCTAAGTCATTAATAAACACGTTAAAAAGATATGGCCCACTGACACCACCTTGTGTCGTACCCCTATTTACCTCACGCCACTGTCCCTCAAAACCGTTATAAACTACTCGCTGCTGGCGTTTCTCGAGAAAGCTTAAATACCAGTTCACAATAAGGGGATTCAATGGCAACTGCCTAAGCTTAGATGACTGGAGGTCATGACTGACACAGTCAAATGCTTTACTAAAATCCATTGCAAATACTCGGACGGCTTTGCAGTCTTGCTCGTCTAAATAGCTGTAGATGGTGTGCTGCATGCTCAAGTGCGCATCAGTGTAACTCCCCCCTGTCGTATAAGCAAACTGTGTTGAACTCAGATGCTGTTCGACAATATCTCGTGCATGGGTGTTATACGCAGATTTCTCGAACGCTCGTGCAATTACAGGCGTGATCTTAATTCCTCTGAAGTCCCGCTTGCCCTTAGGGATGTCGATCTTAGGGAGGGGCGTCACGTGGGCCCTTTTCCACAAGGAGGGCCACTTGCTAGTTTTCAGGGAAACATTCCAGATCTTATGAATGACACTTGTGAAGATCTCAGCGTGATCCCTCCAAATCCAAAAGGGAATGAGGTCTGGTCCCATAGCGGTTTTCTTCAGATGTTGTAAGCAATTCCACACGTGTCTTTCTGATATCTGAGGGGCTTCTAAGCTCTTATCCACAATAGCTGGTACCGGCTTCGTTATCAGTTTTTATGTTACCAGTTTTGTTGTCACGTTAAACGACAAATATTGAAAGCTTCTCTCTCAGACAATCGCCATGTTTACTTTTTTTCCTCTCTAACCTGAAGCAACAGAAGTGAACACTTGCTACTAATTCATATTTCAGGATCAGCCTGGTCTGTATTCATATTGGCGTTGGGTGCATAGCTTTTATTCCAACTGTTGAAGTAACCTTCCTCGTACAAGATAGGCTCCGAAATGTAAAAGTTGAGAAACGTTTCTTTTCGAGATACACAAGATCCGATCTGAATTTAAAAAAAGACTACCAATCATTTCCTCTTAGTTAGATCACGTGTTTATAAGTTCGTGCACAGCCCTATCTCGTTGACAGCAGTGCCCTTGGAACCGTCATAACCTAGTCCTCCTAAAAAATCGTTCTTCAAGAAATTGAAGAAACTAGAAGGAATAGAGATTAACATAACCACTACAATTTCCCGGTGGGTACAAAGTTCGCCTGTGAGACTAGGTGGAAATAAATTAGTAAAATCCAACTTGTGGTCTATTATCAATGCTGCGTTCTGATTGGTTGAGCTAATACTAGGCTATATGGTATAGCCCACTAGTAGCGAAAAGCGCCGGCTTTTTGGCGGCAAAAAAAGATTAAAGTTTAGCTTTAACTAACTAAATTTTTTTTATTCTCGATACTTTTGACCAACTAGTTGGATTTTACTAAAAAAATTATTCCTCTCGCCCTCATGGGCTATTGACTCAGAGCCCATTCGGGCTCGCGGAATAATTGTTGTTGGATAGACCCTCCAGCCCCAGTCCCCTGACGTCGCAAATTGCGTGACAATTTTATAGTCGTACATGTCTCGATCGTTTGTCGGCGTTCTTTCGCGACTGGGGAAGATGTATCAATGTCCTCTTTAATAATTTTTTACAGTGGAGCCTCGATTTAACGATCCTTCTATGTAACGAAGTCCTCGGTATAACGAACGATTTTCTTCAGCACGGGCAAAATTAAAAGTTATAACGAACACAATCCACACAAGCGGAAACGTAAAATATACCTCGATATAACGGAAAAATGTCCGCATGTGATAAAAGATGAATGCCAAACAGACCATCAAGGATAACATTTATGTGTACAGTAGTTTTAAGCAATTTTGTTTGCCTGTTCTTGAGTTTCTAGTGCCGTAGCTATGTATAGTACGGTACTGAAAGGTTATTACAGTAATTTTTCAGAGCGGGAAATGCTGGGATTATATACCTCAATATAACGAACATTTTGGTAGTTTTCCCGAAAATTAGTTTCATGGAGGTGTTTGATATAACGAACCCTCAATATAACGAACATTTTTCCCCAGTCCCTTGGCACTTCCTTAAATCGACGTCACACTGAATCTCTCTGAAGTGCCGGAGATTGTTATGTAACTTCTCTTTACAACTCAATACATACATTGTTTTGCAGACATATGACTAGAATGGGCAAATGCATCAGCCAGAATCTTTTATCTTCATGTAACTCCAAATTTTCTTACTAGTGACTAAGGAAATGTATAGCAGCCAGAAAGGAGAAGGCTATTTATCACAGAAAATTTGTGAATGAAACAACCTTTTCACAAAGTTCAGCTCTTTGAAAAAGTTATACCCGTTTGTTTATTTAAATCCCAACGTGATCAGAAACGGGGGAATCCCCGAATTCCACGCTCTTAAAGCGTGGCGAATAAAAACATACAATCCCATATGTAATTTATGCAGCAAGTCAAGTGTGGGTTCATGAAGTATCACTAGTCACGGAATTTTACAGTCCTCAAGCCGAGAAAGAAAGCATTGGAAGTCAGTGTTAAGTTCGTGAGGCTCGAAGCCTCACGCGCCAGCGAACACGCGAACACTGTAACAGGGACACTGCAACATCATGGCCCACGTTGTCTTCCAGTTATGCGTCGTTACTTCTTTCTTCATGGCCAAGACTGAAGCCTTCTTCGCTCAGCCAGGTGATAATACTTACACTCCTAAGGTTTAAAAACCTCATTCAACTCCTTTTATATTGTCATGAAGTGTTTAGGCCAACACCGCGTCCCTTATCAAAGAGCAGGATGCGGTAAATATATTATGCACCGAAAATAATGCAATACCGATGGACCGAAGTTTGTTTCTTGTTCATGAAAGCTGAAGAATTTTCAGAAACACCAGAAAAAATCGATCAATGTCATGTATACGAAGTTGAAATACTGTCGCCATTCTTGTAGTGTCTTTGTAAACAAAAAAGAAATCAATTCTTATGATCTAAGCGTTTTTAATATTTGCTATTCAGTTACTTCAATAGACTTATGTGTGTGCATATCACGGGTCTTTTATGTGGTGTGGTAATCTCGTTTATAGATGGGTCATTTATTATCGTTAGATGATATGTTATGCAGGTTATTACTGTAGCTTTATCGAAGATCAACCAAAGGACGAACTCTTTTTCCAAGGTTTTTGTTTGGCGTGACGGGAAAATGGAATGTGCTTTGCAAGCAGTATTTATCTACAATAGGTCACGAGATACCCGGTGTTTGACGAAAGACATCTGTAGAATGGATGTTGTAGGCGGACGTTTTAGTTATGGCGGAGGATATGCCGGTTGAGAGATCATTTATCCGTCAAAGCAATGACCCTAAAAGTCTTTAGAGTCACATTCATGCCTATAACAAAAATATTTGTGTGAACTCGCGTGCCTGACATAAAATGCTGGTGACGCATTTATGGTTAGGATAAAGATGAAAGGAGGTCAGTAATTCATCCAAGCATATCGAAAGCATAACACTAGTGCATTTCAAAAGAGAGTTTGCATGTGTAAGCCCTTAAAGGACACTTTTTTGGAGAAACCTGTCATGTCGCCAGTAGTTTTAAAAAAAGCCGAGTAAGTCCTTAAAAGAGGCTGAACATAAACCTTTGACGGATTTCTGATCATAATAAAACAAACACGAACCTGCCTATTTGTGTGAACTCGCGTGCCTTACAAAAAATGCTGGTCACACATTTATGGTTCGGATAAAGGCGAAGAAAGTAATTCGTCCAAGCATAAAACTAGTGCATTTGGAAAAAGAGTTTACACGTTTGGGTATGTGTAAGCCCTCAAAGGAAACTTTTTAGAGAAACGTGTCATGTCGCCAGTGGTTTTGAAAAAAGAGTAGTCCTTTGAAAAGGCTCAACATAAACCTTTAACGGATTTCTGGTCAAAATAAAACAAACATAAACCTGAAACAAGTCCTAACAAAGAAAATCCAAACGATTTCCATTCCTCAGTATTCATACGGGAAAAGGTTATTGCCCCGTTCGCAAAAGGTTCTGGGAAGAGTTGGGCCGAAAGTAGTGGTGGGCAAGAGCCTTAGTTGTAGGCCGTATCAGAGCCTTTGGAATCTACGAGATGCAACACCATTTTGGCTCAAAATACGCTTTGATTATCGTAGAAATGGGACGTATGGAAAGATTTTGTCAGGATGGCTTGGGATGGCTGGGGCCAAAGTAAGTAAGTAATAGAGAGCTTTAGATTCTAAGACGAGTACGACAACGACTACGAGATTTTCTCAGTGGTGCTCGCGCGAGAACCGCCAACCAGCGTCATTTTGGTGGGAAAACGTGGCAGCCGTCGTCACTCTACTACGAGTTTTACTAAGAATGTCGAAACGGGGGAGGACAAGATATCAAATGTTAGAAGTTTTATCATTTTGCGATCGGGATAGGGTGTAACCTCCTTCACTAAAGGTAACAGTGCTAACTTTTCTACTGAAAAAAGGTAAAAAAAAAAAAGCTTTCCGGGGTGTCTATATTTTGAGAATACGCGAAAAAACTTAAAGTCAAATCTCGTACTCGTATTCGTTCTCGTCCTTGAATCTAAAGGTCTCTAATATCGTTGAAACTTTAGACCTTAGTTAGATCTACCATGCAGTCCTAAACCAGGTTTCGTCACTTTTTAGGAGAAGCTGCCTCAAAACATGGTCAGACGCCACCTCCCACTTTTTTAGAGGCTCCTCAGGAAATCCACTACTATGTGACAAGGAAGCAGCCTGTCAATCTGACATGGGTGGCAACTAACGTTTGCAAGATGCAGATTAAGTGTAACAACGAGAAATTTAGAGATGGAAATAACAGGGTCTGCAAGCAAACTTGTAAAGAATGCAAAACGAGGAGGAGGACAAAAATTGTTAAGGTGAAAGATTTCCCTGAAGGTGTCAGGTCCATGACATGCCAGTGCAAGGTCTGGGGCACAAAAGTGATTAAAGCTGAGAAGATCATCGTGGAGAAAGCTTGTGAGTATTTTAATGTTTAAGATGCTCAAACACGGTCCAGATTTCAGGAAAAAAAAGTGAAAGAAACTAAAAACACACAACATCATCGTACATTACTTACAATATTGAGAAGTATTTATAAGGACCGCTAATTAGCCCCCTTCCCCCGCCCCCCCGCCTTCCACTCATACACCCCGCGATATGGGCCCATCTTCTTCTAAACTAAAAAATAAACATTTAGAGCTTGAATTTCATGGCTAAAGTTCAGAATATTTAGAATTTTTCGACAAAATATCTGTTAGAATCCTTCGTATGTTCAGGTTGTCTAAAGCGTCTTTTTATGCCCTGACATCTTCATTCATAACATTTTATGAGACGTACGGAAAGTTGCCAAAGCAATTTTGTAATTTCACATGTGAAATTACAAATGAACGCTGAAGTTTTGCAAAATTAAGAAGTAACTCGTCACCCAGACTTCTCGTCACCTATGATATTAATCCGGTTATAACCTCCTTCGGATGTAAGCCCCCTCTAGTTTGAGTATCGACGGAAATTAATTCGATATATTATGACGTTTTAAAGCTTAACGATAATCCAGTTAATCATTGATAACTATAACAAAGTTCCCAAATCTGATTGGCTATCAACTGTGCTGATTTCAGCACTAGTGATTAAACAAATCGGTCGTCCGATTTTGTTAATCACTCGTATGATTACAGACCGAATTGGACTCCACTCAGTCCTATTAGTATAGGTAATAGCATGAGTTGTAGTGATATTTTCATAAATACCACGAGTGATATTTCAAAATTGTTATACGATATTTCACGAGCCGTTAGGCGAGTGAAATTTGAGACAATTTTGAAATATCACAAGTGGTATTTATGTTTAGTATATACTAAAACAGTGGATAGTGTTTTCCGCGCGCTCTGATTGGCTACTCAATCAGTGAATATCCTGCACTATTCACTGATTCACCTCCAGTTCCTCGGAGCGAGCGACGCCAAACTCGTGTAAGTTGCAAGCAAAATGCCTTCCAGGTTTGCTGCCGTAAACAAACAAAGAAATTTCACAACTAACCAAGCAAGCTGTTTCCGAAATACACGAAGAAGGTGACGAAGTTCGGATTGGAAGTTTTAACAGGTAAAGCTTTGTCTTTTTGACACGAATTTATCGATAAAACCGGTGAAAAAGTTTTTTGTTTACAAATGCAAATGAAGCTTAAGTCTTGCTTACTTTATTCAGTTTAGTTGAGTTGTTCATAAATAAGCTTAAAACTAAATTTAATAATCTTTTTTTATAGAATGATTTTAAATACAAAAAGAATTCACAACTCCTTTTGAAGAAATTTCCCCGCAAGAGCTAAACAAATGCCTTCAAAAGTTTTAGTTGCCGGCAAGAAAAAGCGACGGCCGCGGCCGCCCGGTCATTACGCGCCAAAATTGTAATCGTTGGCAACAGTATTTGAGTTAAAAATCGTCGTTTTTGTGCTCAATTATCTCACTGTTTTAGTATATACTAAAACAATTATTCACCTCAGTGTCGGTGGCTAGTCGTGGATATTTACCTCACTGCTTCGCAGTTCGGTAAATATCCAGGACTAGCCACCTCCACTTCGGTGAATAATTGTTATTTATACTACTACCCACAAAAGGTTTGTAATTTTCACATGTAGGTATTTCAAATTCTGAAATACCACTGCTCTAAGCCAATCAAATTGCAGAAATTTTTCATGTAGTAGTATAATATTACAAAGTGTGATAATCTGTTATTACAAAGTGCGACAGCTTTTTTATTACAAAGTTCGACAGCACAGTTATTACAAAGTGCGACAGAACACACATGCGTGAAAGCAATTGGTAGACAGGGTAGGGATGACTTGGAAAGCTGTGCCTACCTCTGGAAATTTTCTAGCTACGGCCCTTTTATTTCGGTTCTATTTGCAGTTCTTCGGCGGAACTTTACTGTATTCCAGTCACTTCACGTGGTCCCTCCAAACGCTACTGTGATCCTTCCATGCAAGCCGCCACATGGCGAACCAAGACCAGAAATCACCTGGTACAAAAATGGTGAACCGTTTTCCCCTGAGCGTGGCAGACAAGTTATTTTTCCTGTGAAAAATACGGTGAAGCTGGAATTAAAGCACGTGAGCGCAAACGACTCCGGCGAGTACAGGTGTGTTGCCATGAACATGGCAGCGCGCCGAGAAGGACCGATTTTAAGACTCGAAGTTAGAGGTTAGTCAGTTCAGTTTCATTTCTTTTTTGTCAGATTATGACAGCAAACCCTTCGATCCTCTTATGTAAGGAAACCCAAGACAGTCTTTGATTCTCGATTCCACATCGTGGATTCAGGATTTTTTGTCAGTAGAACTTGGATCCCTATAGTTCAATTCCGGATTCCTTGAGCTGTGTTGCAGATTCGAAAGTCTAGGATTCCAGATTCCACAAGCAAAATTTTCTGGGCTTCCGGAATTGGGATTCCTTTGTATGAGGCGTCGACGTCTATTTTTATGACTTCTGTATAAAAACGTACAAAAGTAATCTCATCTGACTTGTCGTTACAACCGAAACCGAAACGTCTCAAAGTAAGACATCATCCCATGATATAATTTATAGCAGGTTCAGGAAAGCATCAAACTTTTGTCCCAACTTTGTGAACAGTTCCAGGCAATGAGAATTTACTCCAGCGACCTAGTCCTAGAAGCTTGCCATTACTTGCTTCTGATTGGCCAGAAAACCTTTTCTGGCTAATGACAAGCGAGGAAGCCAGACGTTTTCTGGAACTGGTTTGCTCAAAGTAAATGCGTAGAGCCCTAGGGCTTCTCCAGTAAATACCTTGCCCCGTTGGCTTCCCCTGGGTCTAAGCACTCGCTACAGTAAGGAGCAAGAACTCCATTCCTAGCTTTACAAAACTCTCACGCTTCTTTTCGTAGAAAATGTCTCGACCGATGCTTTTGGTGAAAGCTCATGGAATTGCACTGGCCAGCCTTCAGCTGGATGTACGAGGGAAAGCAACACGTCGTTTAGTTATGGTAATACACATATTTAGTCAAGGCTAAGGGTTGATTTCCACTGTCGCGTAATTTTAACGTGGGTCCGTACGCAAATTTTTGCGCGCGTAAATAAAGTAGAGGCAATGCATGGTTCCAGGTCACGCGTAAACGCAAAAGTTGAACCTCGGTCAACTTTTACGTTTACGCGTGCCCTGTCATACATCACCTCTATTTTATTTACGCGCGTAACATTTTTCGTGCGTACGCCATGAAAATTACATCGTTGGCTTTATCTTCAAGTTCGACGACGGCGACGGCAACGAGAACGGTAAAAAAAAAAACAATAGGTTTAGATTGGCAAAACAACAACCCTGCACGTCCATCACAAATTACACGACAGTGGAAATCCACCCTAAGTAAGAAAATGTAGTGTAACAGAAATGTGTTTCTCTTTTTGTAAAATGGAATGTCGATACTTAGTACAACAAGGTACCAGGAGACTGACAAGGTCCGCTCATTGTAACTGGAGAACATTTTATCGAGTTCTTTTTTATACATTTTCACAGTGATTGAGGTGAATAAGATCGTTCTTTTTGCCGGTGTCTTTGATAATAGGGGTATGTTATTTCAAGGTTTCACTGAGTGAAACAAAATAATAGAAGTTGTTTTAATATAACTTTTGTAAATTCCAGCTTTGTTAATCGTTGGAACAGAAGATGCTCTTCTCAAAATTGACCTGCGAAACACATCAAGGAGAACGCAACTTCAAGTCAAGAACGTAATGTCACTGGACTTTAGTTCCGATAAAAACCTGGTTTACTGGTCAAACAAGAAGGAGATAAAGCAGCTCTCTTTACAAACCGGCATCAGTGAGGTCATACCTTTTCATCACAATGACTATAGCTCCGTGCCATTCCCAGAGGGCCTTGCAGTTGATTGGATAAGTGGTAAATTATACTGGACTGATGCCAAGCGAGACGCCATTTACGTAGGGGATTTGCGCAACGGCAGAAAAATGACAATTATCGAAGGAAAGATTGATTCACCAAAGGCTATAGTCGTCAGTCCTTCAAACGGGTGAGTTAAACATAACTATCGATTTGAACGTAACTTGTTTCCGAATTTTACAATTTATTGTTGGGCGAATTCCAGCTAATACTGAAGGTTCCACAAATGCTTTCAAATATCGCAGTTTCAGTACCGGTAATACGGTTGGGAATGTACTGCGCTTGTTCTGACATGTGGAAATGGTTAAATGTCCCTAGTAGTGGTTTTTGGAGTGGAAAAGAATCCCAAGGCGCCGTCGCAGTACACTATTAGGGGGCTTAAGCAACGACGAAAGCGACGGCAACGTGAACGGCTAAAAAGCAATAGGTTTATATTAGCAAAACAACAAATTTGCACATGCATCACGCTTTTTTGTACATTTCTTTGCCGTCGTTCAACGACTACAACGTGAAAGTGCCTAATTTCGTATTTTGTCGAGGACGGGAACACGAGACAACAACTTTCTTTTTCTTTCCCTGAACTTTGATAGTCCCTTAGAATTCAGGTCCGAAAAAATTTTGCCAGCATTTGACGAATTAAAAGACATGGAATAAATGCGATAAAGTTTGAAGTAGCGGGAATTCACTTTTTCAGTGACGTTTTCGTAGCTGACGCCGTCGTTGTTGCTTAAGCTCCGTATTTACCACTGTGGGGACGTAAAAGAACGAATAGGGACTCGCAGTAACAATTTCTAGTAATAAACACCCTGGCGGCGGGTACCTCCTTTTTTGTGTGTTTTTGAGAGTGGGTGAGCAGGGGACCTCTGATTAAGAAGAGGAGTCCCGCTCATGTCCATTCTTGCACGTTTGTATCAATTAAAGCTGGAAAAACAAGGCTTGGCAGACAAGCTCTTATTATTCATGCCTTATATATGTCTTTCTCACAGCTACATTTACTGGACGAACTGGGGCCAAGCGCCTCATATTGAACGTGCAAGACTGGACGGCACCGAAAGAAGAGCACTTGTCTACAATGGTATCAAGTTTCCAAAAGGCCTGGCTCTTGACGAGTTAGGCAAAAAACTTTTCTGGGCCGGTACTGACGACAATAAACACGGAATTATCGAGGCTGTATCTCTGGATGGTTTAAACCGCAGCGTCATATTCTACGAACAGGGTTACCATCCATTTTGTTTGGATACCTTTGAAGACTATGTTTACTGGGCTGATTTGGGACGAAATGCGATTTTGCGCATTAAATCTCTTGGAGGTGAGGCAGAGGTGATTATTGACGGCTTAAACAAGCCAATGGGATTGAAAATTCTTCACCCACGTGAATCAAGGCCAGGTACGTGTTCTGATAGTCCTTTCAGTAGAAAGACGCTCATCATCGCATGAGTTTCTCTTGGTTTTCGTCAACTACAAAAATCTTCTTTATTTAAATTTCCTAGGAAAGAGTTGGTCGCAGTTTTTCGTCAAGCGAAGCAGCAATTTTGGGCTTTTCAAAACCTTCGCTTTGTCTGATTACACAAGTTTCAGATGGCCTGGACCTTTCGCGTATTAAGTTTATTTTTTCGTCTTTCCTTTGACTTAGGATGTTGTTCATTTTTCACTCTAGGCAATTCTTGCGATAAAAACAATGGCGACTGTGAGTACCTTTGTCTATCTATCCTTGAAAAACAAAGATGCTTTTGCAAGGAAGGAATGAAATTAAAAGAAAATGGAAAAAATTGTGAGAAATACAAACTTCAAGGTAAGTCACGCTTGTGACTAGTTCATTGGATTTCAATTTTTTTATTGCTCTTATACCGCATGTCTTTACATTACATCTATTGCCTTTACTGCTTCGTGTCTTGTAAAAGTCAGTGATAAGAAAATTCTTTTTTTAACAGACATAGCGTTCCGGGCTCTGCTAGTGCTTCTCTAATACAGTCAGTCAAATGACAACTGAGCAAAAAAGACAAATAGTCCATGAAGGCAAATCCAGTCATAAATCTGTCAAGGGAACGTTGTTGTATAATCCTTCCCCGTAATTAAGTATTCAACGATAGTCTTGCGTTGTCGTGAGCATTGTCCTAGCGATGGAAACGTAGATAGCGAGATACCTTCGTATTTTTCTTGATAATCTGAAATTCATCTATTTGTTTCCCATCTAAGGAGAAGAGAAGAATGGTGAATCATTGGATTTCAACACTCCAATCTTCATCATAGTTATGCTGCTGCTTTTGTTAGTAGCTGTTTATTTTGCATTGAAGAAACGCCCCTCGTGTTCTAGACCCACTGATCCACCCCGGGTGCCACGCGCGAAAAGGGCGAATGATCAAGGGGTCATAGATGAAGGAATAGAGGAGGAGCTTCCCACAGACCAAACGGAACTTATGGTCGCGGAATCGCAACCAAATGATGCGTCACCTGAATCAAACCAACAACTTTGTAGTTCTGAAGCATCTGGAGCATGCGCATCGCCAGTAAAGGTGAGATCGGCAAAATATTGCTTGTAACAGCACGACTCTGTTGATATTAAACTAAAACACACTGCTAAAAGCAACAGCCCATTTTAAAGTTGTTGGTAGAGGCAAGGCTGGTGTTGACTTTGTCTTATTAAAACCCGTCCTTTTTTTCTATGTAATTGTTGCCTTTTATGTTAAATAGTAGTTTCTAGGAGGTATGAATGAAAACAATGTTAAGCCATCGCATTCATTCCTAGGCGTGTGGTTACAATGCGCGCAACTGTTAAGTGGTTCATTGGTTAAGATCCTTACTTATTAGCAATTGTTTCGGGAAGACGAGATGAATACTACAACAAAAACGAAGGAAAATTGTAGGTTTCTAAAAATACTTTTCTTTTTTAAGTACTTTTAGAACTTGATCAGTGAATTTATCAGTAGAAAATAGTTATGTACAGTTTTCAAGTACAAAGTAACTTTAATTTGACACATTTGCCTAGCGCGCAAAAACTAACCCTTGCAACTTTTATCTTTAATGCTGCGTTATCTGCTTTCTATTTTATAATCAGATCCTGCTACTTAAGAGAAATCATTTAAGATAACTCTTAGACCGTGATCTAGTGTCGTAAATTTTCCGGCTTCAGTCAAAGAAAAAGAAATTGCTGCACTTCAGAACAAATTATATAGATGTGTTCTGACCGTAATAAAAACATTTTTCCTTTGGTTACAGAGAGATGTAGTGGTTCACATGCACATGAACACGTTGAACATGAACACAGTGAACACAGTGAACACAGTGAACATGAATATGAATACAACTAATAACGTGGAACTTCAACAAAGTGGCGGAGTGACTGTCGTAGGAGACGAGGCAAAAATCAGTTATCATCAGCCTTCTCAAAGTTGAAGTATGACTTCTACGAAAACTCTCTCTCATCATTTAGAATCAAAACTCCTTAATACGGAGGATCAAAGGGACAGCCCAAATATCCGCATCACGGAGCTGTCCCTAATTATGGAAGTATATATTGAATGAAGTTTGGTATCCTCGGAACACACATAGAGAACTGTACGTAAAAACAGGGTCCTTATTAGAGAGCTCTAAGTGTGGGAGGAGAGGGGGTTCCAATGTTAAAGCTACCACTGATAAGTTTGTTTCGATGCGTACTTTTTCAGAAAAGGTAGTGAAAAGTCCTCTCCTGCTGTTTACAAAATCGCATGAGTACCCACCTATTCTGTATTTCCGGTACTTGCTTGGTCGATATTTTTTTCCGTCCTTGGGGAATTCCCATATATGGGCTCAGTATATGAGGATGTGCCACTCAACAGGCTATGCTGTTATTGCTCCTCTCCCTATTATAGAAGTAGAGAGATTATAAAGCTTGGCGAGTGTTCCTCGAACGTGATATCTGATACATGTGGATAAGAAGTAACAGCGGAAGAAACTTTTTGGGGGTGCAGACGAAAACAGATACGTTTGCGCGAGAATCGTTGGTTTTCACATGACGTCACTAAAATTCAAACTACAAAACTGTCGATCTTACCAAGATTTTACTTTCACGGTGTATTAGGGCAGCTGAAAACTAATTTTCATACAATTTTTCTCTTCAAAAGGGTTGTTGCTTTTGTGATAGAGTACGTGCGTGACGCGGGATTTACATGACGGCCAGGAGAGTTGTCATGTAGATTAAAAAAATTACTTATTTCAGGGAATTTTGCTATCTAAACAGTTTATGTATTAGAAAAAGTATTACTTTAATGTTGATGATTTCCTCGAAGAATAATTTCACGTTTTTGTAGCAAAACTCGGTAACAGATTTTTCTGTTGGTTTCCGTCCGCCATGTTGGTGATCATCCGGATGAGTACCAGCATGGCGTCTCCATACAAATCTCTATAAATTTGGGAAAAACATTTCTTCGGATATCTCGTATTTGAAATATTCCTCTGACCTGAATTTTGGCGAGGGTCTTTGCATACTTACCTCCTTTCATTTCCCAGATTCTGGACTTTATCTATTGAACAGTCTTCATTTTTTATTTGGATCTATTTTGTATGGCGTGACACTGAAAACCAGCTATAAGTGATGCGTTTTATAGTCAACGATAGTCTTCGACCCATGTGAAGGAAAATGTACCGGAGAGGACCCCTTTCTAACCTAGCAGCGTTGCTGATATTTGGTTTTAGCCACGTAAGAAAGCATATTTATACCCTAAATTTTATATATATATATATATTGGCTCTGCATCTTTTAACGAGTTTGGACTGTATCTAAAAACTCCTGTCGAACCTCAACGAGTCACTTTAAAACTTTACCTAACAAAGTGATGAATTTAACCGTAGCGAAAGCTCTTTCTTCTCTGATTTAAAAGTGAAGGAATTGTATTGCAGCTGAGTGGAAAGCAAAGGTTCGAATGACCATGCGTTTTCTTTTTTTTCTCCCTCAGTTTTGTTCTCCCTTAGCAGGTTATTAATAAGGTAACATCATTTGACTACAACTAACAGAATGCTTCACGCTTTTGTATTTTTTTTTTGTGTGTGTAAATAGAACTTTGATCACCGCATTCCTGTGGACAAAGGCACCAAATGGAGGCTTTGTTGACAAAATAGAGTGATTTATATGAAATTATCCACCCGAGCCTCGACCTCAGTTCTTTGTGTTTGCTCAGTGGAGCGGAATGCGAGGAAGATCTATTTGGGGTGAGGATGCTTTTAAAATTTTACTGCATGTGATTATTAGATGTGAATGACAAAAGCAAACGCGAAATTGATTCTTTTATTTGTGGTCAAGTGAAGTCATTCCGTGGACATTGACTATTGTGCCTGAAAAACCGAAGTCCAGTAGAAAAGGTATCGCATGATGAATGTGGCGTCGTTGGCTTTATCTTCAAGTTGTCCTTGAGATACTAGGGAGCTCAAGCAACGACGACGGCGACGGCAACGAGAACGGCAAAAAAAAAA